GTTCTCGCTGTTTTGTTTGTGGATGCACTAAGTTTAAGCTAGACCGAGCTTCGCAATCGATTACAGAAGCTAACATGATTGTAAAGAGATTGAATTTTTGTTTGGTTTTTCTCATTATTATGTTTGAAACTACTATGTGTAAGCTAGGTCGAGCTTTAGAATCGATTACAGCAGTTAACAATATTGTAAAAGATTGAATTTTTGTTTGGTTGTTCTTGTTGTTTTGACTGGTGATGCTTGGTCTAACTTGTTTTGATTGACGTAATTGTAAAAACTTTGTAAAAAAGTTTGAAATTTTGTTTGGTTGTTATGGTTATTTTGTTTAATGATGCTAAATGTAGCTGAGTAAGGTACACCGAGTTCCTGACTTAATAATCAGTTACATTTGATGAAACTGGTTTCGAACCGAGATTTTAGCTAAAGTGTAAGCTAGACCGAGGTTCGAAATCAGTTACGTCGAATTAGAACTTAATAATATCTCCTTTACGTTTTACTCCAAAATCTCCACCTTTGATCTTAAATCCGTAAAGCTGCTGAGGGAGAATGAAATTAATGGTTACATTTGTTGATTAGAACATTTGACCCTATTTCCGAAAATCAAATGAAGGTGTATACTCAATGTCATTACTTGTTGGCTTTTTAACCCATCAAATGAGCTAAAACATGCACAAAAATCTGTTAATTTGATTTTTTTTTTCCTTTTTTTGCTAGGTTAAAAATGATAATTTGAAGGGGAAAACAGTTGGGTTGTATTTCTCCGCATCATGGTGCGGGCCATGCCAGAGGTTCACCCCAAATTTAGTCGAGGCCTACAATGAACTCAAACAAGTTGACAAATTTGAGGTCATCTTCATATTTGCCGACCAAGATGACGTTTAACTCTTATTTCTCTAAGGCCACCTTTATTCGTGACCCCCTCCTATTGGGTCACGAAATTAAAAAAAAAAAAAATTAAAACAAAAAAAAAAGGAAAAGGTCACTGGATGCGCGCGACCAAGGTCACTGTGTCCCATTTTTATTGCACAAGTGTATTTTTTTGTATCTAAAAGAATAAAAAAATTCGTATTTTTTTCATTATCTACAAATAGAGACCACACTTGATATATTTTAGAACACAATTGTAATTTTTAAATAAATTAAAATAAAATAAGTATTTAAGTTGAGTTGAGTTATGAATAAAGATAAATTGGGTTGAAAGATTGAGTTGTGTAGGTAGAGGAGAGAGAAACAATTTTTAATTGTTAGGTTGAGTTGAGTTGAGTTGGGGATAAAGATAGTCTAAAATGCCCTGGCTTGCAGTCCCATTTTCCGATACAAAGACACGCAAAAAACTGGACAAGGCGTTTAGTGTCGATGGGATACCTCATCTCGTGTTTTTGGATTACAGTGGGAAATTATTGTCCGAGGAAGGCGTACGAATAATTCAAGAATACGGTTCGGAAGGGTACCCTTTTAACTCCGAAAAGATAGAGCAGCCCAAGTTACAAGAATTTGAAGCTAGGAAGAACCAATCGCTTAAGTCATTGCTTGCATGTGGGTCGAGAGACTGTGATTAAATCTGATGGGGAGAAGGTTCGTTTTTTTTTTATTGTTCATTTAAAGTTTGAGAATTTACGTGCTATCGTATAATCAATCTCTTGCGCTATTATACAGGTTCGAATTGCTGAGCTTGAAGGAAAAACTATCGGTTTATACTTCATATTGTCCACTTACAAAAGTTGCATATCTTTCAACCAGAAGCTAGTCGAAACTTACGAGGGCTTGAAAAATATTGGTAAGAACTTTGAAATTGTGATGGTACCCCTCGATAATGACGAGAAAATTTTATATACTAGGTATTTATTTTATATATACTAGGTAAATTTTCTTTCAAAAACTTTATAAAGTATTTATTTAGGCTTAAAATATTTTGTCATGTCATGTTCAGAAAACATATATCATACAAATGTAAACTTTAATGTTTTTAGATATGTTTTCTTTACAAAATAGTTTAAAAAAGTTGTAGGTGACTTCACATCTTTTAATAATATAGAAAATTTTAAATAATTTTACATATGTTAATATAATATTTTAGGAGTTTTTAACTGTTCAAATATACGAATTTTTATGTTATCTTGAACAAGCTAATTTTATATCGTTTATAATAAACTGATATACCGTAAATCATATGACATGTTAACCCCACATCGTTAATTTATGAATATTATTTAATATTGTTTACCCTCATCTTTAATTTATAATATTTTTTCTTGCTCTTTAAAGAAAAGATCAATAGTGGTTCCCCACTTCTTTCATTGAGTGACTCGAACTCGATACCTATTTATAATTATTATTTAATATTGTTTACCCGTGCTTCGCACGAGATACATACTAGTTTGTATAAAATGATCTTTAAAAAGTAATAAGTGTTTGGGTTGTAATTAAGTGTTTAATATGTTTACGATGTTTCACTTGGTTGATACCATAAAATTTATTTCATTTTCTCTCTCTTCTCATGCTATATATACTTTCTAATAATTCATATAGAAAAAGGGGACCTTTATTTATACTTTGTTTGACTCTAATAATTCGTAAAAAAAAAAAAAAATAGTAAGGCAATGATATATCTACATGCGTGTGTAGCGTAATTGTTTTCCAATTATAACTAAAGGCAACCATAAATATGACTTATTATATTTGACAAAATAAATAATATAAAATCTAACCATTATTTTACATGCATGTTCGGAAATAATTGTTGCCAACGCGGTAGCAATAAATGTTGCTGTGTGACTTTGTGTTGAGTTGAGTAATATGTGAATTATTAATATGCGCTGGAGTTATGGGAAGAAGGTGCACCAGCACCGGCCCCGCCGTACATTAGGCCCATAGGTAACTTTCTAGGCTGGAGAACACAAATATTCTAACTAGAACTAACTAAACTATGTATTATACACATTAAAACTAAACGGCCCAAAATAATTTGGCCTAAATAAACCACTTGGACTCTTCAAGGCAATGAGATGACTGAATGAGCGGTAAATATATAAATAAATAAAACAGAGAAAAAAAAGTGTGAAAAAAGCACGAAATTTTGGAGAACACAAACTGTATCTGTATCTTCCACATCTCCGGCGATAACTCCACGGTCCATCGCCTATCGAAAGACAATCTCCGACAGCGGAAATACGGAGTTGGTGTCTCGGCCCAGTCGTCGTGGTAAGTCCCTACTTCCAAATCTTCTAATCCCAATTTGACCAAACAGCAAAACCCTAAAATTCCTTGTGATATATTTTTTCCGCTTAATGTTGGAAAACTACGCTTGTGAGGCTAAATAATTGATGAGCTCTTATTAGTTGGTGTTGTTTAGCAGCAGATTTTGTGAAATATATAATGGGTTTTCATTTTTAAGTTCTATGTGGTTTGTGCAAATGCTGAGATTATGGATTGATTGTTTTTTTATTTATTGAATTTTGCAATTTTTGAATATAATTTGTTATTCTCACCATGGCTAATTTACCGGGATTGAGTGACTACGTAGTCCAAAATCCTAAAGTCGATCTTGGAGTGTAAAATGAAAGGTTTACGGTAACGAACATAGACGTGGACCCTCTTCCTTTTGGAGTAATTCCAAACAACGACCAGATCGCGACTGAGGATCGCAGGAGGAAAACTTTGATCGATAAGGTTTCAAATATAAATAATTTGGATGCCGCACAACGAGACTTGAGGTACCATGATGTCCTCACAAGAGTGAATGAGGTGGCTCAAATCCCCAGAGTTTGATGCAATTGCTTCAGGTTATCGTGGAGACAATACAGGATATGGAGCATACCCAATTGGCTACGATTCAGGGCCATCAAGCTTTGCAACAAACACTTCAGGCCAGCAAGCAAGCTCTACTTCAGGGCCATTTGGGTATACTTCAGGATATCAAGCTCTATTTCAGGACACGCTTTAAGCTATCCAGCAGGCCAATCGAAGGACAACAACATTACTTCAAGTCATGACGGCGAGTTCTCGAAATCAACACATCCAGAGACGATAGATGAATGTACGCTTGTCCATCTTGCCAAAATTGTATCCCGGCCATCTATTTCCGCAGCCGCAACTCGTCCAAGAGGTGAATATTAATATAGGGGCTATCTAGTGGGTGATATGCCGCCAATGGACTGGTGCCTCTAACCAATAATGAGTTTGTAGCAATGCTGAAGCAAGACTTGCCTAATTGGAGGAGAACATTGAGAGTCATTTATTGATTTTATAACGATGCAAGTCTGGACATCCCCGATGTCCTGTGTGGCATTGTGGGGGATGTTCAGACTGACATCGTTATAAAACCAATAAATGGCTATCAGTCTTCTTCTCAAATTAGGCGGGGGTCGCTTCTGCATCATTGCAAACTCATTATTAGTTAGAGGCAGCAGTCCATTAGAGGGCATATCACCCACTTGATAAGCCCCATATTAATAGTCACCCCTTGGACGGGTTGCTGCTGCGGAAATGGATGACCGTCATACAATTTTGACAAGAGGGCAAAGGGTGCATTCATTTGTCGTGTCTGGAAGTGTTGATTTCTACTCCTCGCAGACATGACTTGGAGTAATGTAGCCGTCATTTGATTGCCCAGCTGGAGATTAGTCTAAAGCATGCCCTGAAATAGACCGTGATGGCCGTGAAGTATAACTTGCTGGTCCAGAAGTTCCTGTAGCAAATCCTGATGGCCCTGTACCAAAGCCTGTTAAGTCTGAAGCATAGCCTGTTTCTGCTTTTTAACCCAATAGCCATGAATGGCCTTAACAACTTCCTTTCTCACCAAATGCAATGCAAGAATCACAGACCGCTTGCTCGTCCAAATTATTATTCGGATTGCAGTGAAAGCTTTTTTCGAGAGCATCAATGATCGACTCAAAACTCTCAGGCGTTACAAGCTCAACTACTTCCTCACCCCTACACAGCTCGTCGTTAAAATCAACCAACCACATCTCATCATCAGAGTCCATGTCGTAAATTGCGGTCGATCGAGCAAGAGCACGAGTCAACTCATCGTCCCTCACGCGAATGTACGAAGCAGGCCTCGCGTAAGGCTTATAGTCCTTATTAGTGTCCAAGACTTTCTGCACTGTGGGTGCACTGTGGGAACAGGAATTACAAGGTGAAAGCATGTTCCTTTCGTAGCACTCTTTTAGTTTAAATATGACCGGGTTTAGTCTATTTATTTTTTATTATTATTAATACTCTTTTAGTTTTATTTCCTTTGGTTATTTTAGTAAATATGGTAGGATAATAAATAAATTGCAGTGTTTAGCAAGAATAGGAGAGAACACAGATTATTGATGAATTGAAATTTTTGTTCGTTTGTTCTTGCGAGAGAATCTCATTTTTATTCCCAATCGTACTACGTTCTACATCAGTTAGATTGTTTTTTGTTCTTGATTTCAAGGCTGCATTTCGTGGGAGTTGTATGTGAAGTTCAGTTAATATGCGTTCTTGTTTTACCTTTTGGTCTTTGTTTATCTGTTGTTATTTGTTGATTTGTTTCACTTCTTTAGATGGGGCATTGCAGCTGAAACATTTTTGGGCGTCAACATAATTGTAAAAAGATTGAATTTTTATGTGGCTGTTCTCGTTGTTTTGTTTGTGGATGCGCTAAGTTTAAGCTAGATCGAGCTTCGCAATCGATTACAGTAGCTAACATAATTGTAAAAAAATTGGAATTTTTGGTTAGTTTTTCTCATTATTATGTTTGATGCTACTAAGTGTAAGCTAGGCCGAGCTTGAGAATCGATTGCAGCAGTTAACAGAATGGTCAAAAGATTAAATTTTGTTTTGTTGTTCTCGTTATTTTGTTTGTGGATACTAAGTTTAAGCTAGACTGAGCTTCGCAATCGATTACAGAAGCTAACATAATTGTAAAAAGATTAAATTTTTGTTTGGTTTTTCTCATTATTATGTTTGATGCTACTAAAGTGTAAGCTAGGCCGAGCTTCAGAATCGATTACAACAGTTAACAATATTGTAAAAGATTGAATTTTTGTTTGGTGTTGTTGTTGTTTTGATTGGTGATGCTAGGTGTAACTTGTTTTGATTGACGTAATTGTAAGAACTTTGTAAAAAAGTTTGAAATTTTGTTTGGTTGTTATGGTTATTTTGTTTAATGATGCTAAGTGTAGCTGAGTAAGGTACACCGAGTTCCTGACTTAATAATTAGTTACATTTGATGAAACTGATTTCGAACCGAGATTTTAGCTAAAGTGTAAGCTAGACCGAGGTTCGAAATCAGTTACGTCGAATTAGGACCTAATAATCTCTCCTTTCTGTTCTATTCCAAAATCTCCACCTTTTGATCTTAAATCCGTAAAGCTGCTGAGGGAGAAGGAAATTCATGGTTACATTTGTTGATTAAAACATTTGACCCTATTTCCGAAAATCAAACGAAGGTGTATACTCAATGTCATTACTTGTTGGCTTTTTAACCCATCAAATGAGCTAAAACATGCACAAAAATCTGTTAATTTCATATTCTTTCTTTCCTTTTTCTGCTAGGTTAAAATTGATAATTTGATGGGGAAAACAGTTGGGTTGTATTTCTCCGCATCATGGTGCAGGCCATGCCAGGGGTTCACCCCAAATTTAGTCGAGGCCTACAATGAACTCAAACAAGTTGACAAATTTGAGGTCATCTTCATATCTGCCGACCAAGTTGACGAGTCGTTTAACTCTTATTTCTCTAAAATGCTCTGGCTTGCAGTCCCTTTTTCTGATACAAAGACACGCGAAAAACTGGACAAGACGTTTAGTGTCGATGGGATACCTCATCTCGTGTTTTTGGATTACAGTGGGAAATTATTGTCCGAGGAAGGCGTACGAATAATTCAAGAATACGGTTTGGAAGGGTACCCTTTTAACTCCGAAAAGATCGAGCAGCCCAAGTTACAAGACTTTGAAGCTAGGAAGAACCAACCGCTTAAGTCATTGCTTGCATACGGGTCGAGAGACTGTGATTAAATCTGATGGGGAGAAGGTACGCTTTTTTTTATTGTTCATTTAAAGTTTGAGAATTTACGTGCTATCGTATAATCAATCTCTTGCGTTATTATACAGGTTCGAATTGCTGAGCTGGAAGGCAAAACTATCGGTTTATAATTCATATTGTCCACTTACAAAAGATGCATATCTTTCAAACAGAAGCTAGTCGAAACTCACGAGGGCTTGAAAAAAATTGGTAAGAACATTGAAATTGTGATGGTACCCCTCGATAATGACGAGCAAATTTTATATACTAGGTATTTATTTTATATATACTAGTATTTATATACCTAGTATTTATTTTATATATACTAGGTAAATTTTCTCTCAAAAATTTTATAAAATATTTATTAAGGCTTATAATATATTATCATGTCATGTTCAGAAAACATATTTCATACAAATGTAAACTTTAATGTTTTTAGATATGTCTGTTTAACAAAATAGTTTAGAAAAATTGTAGGTGACTTCACATCTTTTAATAATATAGAAAATTTTAAATAATTTTACATATGTTAATATAATATTTTAGGAGTTTTTAACTGTTCAAATATACGAATTTTTATGTTATCTTGAACAAGCTAATTTTATATCGTTTATAATAAACTGATATACCGTAAAACATATGACATGTTAACACCACATCGTTAATTTATAATTATTATTTAATATCGTTTACACTCATCTTTAATTTATAATATTTTTTCTTGCTCTTTAAAGAGAAGATCAATAGTGGTTCCCCACTTCTTTCATTGAGTGACTCGAACTCGATACCTATTTATAATTATTATGTAATATTGTTTACACGTGCATCGCACGAGATACACACTAGTTTGTATAAAATGATCTATAAAAAATAATAAGTGTTTGGGTTGTAATTAAGTGTTTAATATATTTACGATGTTTCACTTGGTTGGTTATTTTTTCCTACTTTTATGGTCGATTTGATATGTAAAGTAATAAGATCGTGACACGTGTTATTGTGTGAAAGTTTATGTCATTCTTTATCGATAAGAAGTTGAATTGCACTATATTACCAATTGTTAAATGGTAAAAACAAGTTGATACCATAAAATTTATTTCATTTTCTCTCTCTTCTCATGCTATATATACTTTCTAATAATTCATATAGAAAAAGGGGACCTTCATTTATACTTTGTTTGATTCTAATAATTCGTAAAAAAAAAAAAAAAAATAGTAAGGAAATGATATATCTACATGCGTGTAGCGTAAGTGTTTTTCAATTATAACTAAAGGGAACCATAAATATGACTTATTATTATTGACAAAATAAATAATATAAAATCTAACCATTATTTCACATGCATGTTCGGAAATAATTGTTGCCATCGCAGTAGCAATAAATGTTGCTGTGTGACTTTGTGTTGAGTTGAGTAATATGTGAATTATTAATATGCGCTGGAGTTATGGGAAGAAGGTGCACCCGCACCGGGCCCTCCGAACATTAGGCCCATAGGTAACTTTCTGGGCTAGAGAACACATATATTTCTAACTAGAACTAACTAAACTATGTATTATACACATTTAAACTAAACGGCCCAAAATAATTTGTCCTAAATAAACCACTTGGACTCTTCAAGGGAATGAGATGATTGAATGAGCAATAAATAAATAAATAAATAAAACAGAGAAAAAAAAGTGTGAAAAAAGCACGAAATTTTGGAGAACACAAACTGTATTTGTATCTTCCACACCTCCGACACCTCCGACGATAACTCCACGGTCCATCGCCGGTCGGAAGACAATCTCCGGCGGTGGAAATACGGAGTTGGTGTCTCGGCCCAGTCGTCGCGGTAAGTCCCTACTTCCAAATCTTCTAATCCCAATTTGCCCAAACAGCAAAACCCTAAAATTCCTTGTGATATTTTCCGCTTAATGTTGGAAAACTACGCTTGTGAGGCTTAATAACTGATGAGCTCTTATTAGTTGGTGTTGTTTAGCAGCAAATTTTGTGAAATATATAATGGGTTTACGTTTTTAAGTTCTGTGTGGTTTGTGCAAATGCTGAGATTATGGATTGATTGTTTTTTGCAGTATTTTAATATAATTTGTTAGTCTTACCATGGCTAATTTACCGGGATTGAGTGACTACGTAGTCCAAAATCCCCACGTCGATCTTGGAGTGCAAAATGAGGGGTTTACGGTAACGAACATAGACGTGGACTCTCTTCCCTTTGGAGTAATTCCAAATAACGACCAGATCGCGGCTAAGGATCACAGGAGAAAAACTTTGATCGATAAAGTTCCAAATATAAATAACTTGGACGCCGCACAACGAGAATTGAGGTACCATGATATCCTCACAAGAGTGAATGAAGTGAAGTGGCTCCACTCCCCTAGAGTTTGATGCAATTGCTTCAGGTTATCGTGGCGACAATGCAGGATATGGAGCATACCCAATTGGCTACGATTCAGGGCCATCAGGCTTTGCAACTTTAGGGCCAGCAAGCTTTACTTCAGGACCGTTTGGGTATACTATAGAACCATCAAGCTCTATTTCATGACACGCTTTAAGCTATCCAGCGGGCCAATCAAAGGACAACAACATTACTCCAAGTCATGACGGCGAGGTCTCGAAATCAACACATCCGGAGACGACAAATGAATGTACCTTTGGCCATCTTGCCAAAATTGTATGCCGGCCATCCATTTTTGCAGCCGCAACCCGTCCAAGGGGTGAATATTAATATGGGGGACTATCTAGTGGGTGATATGCCTCTAATGGACTGCTGCCTGTAACCAATAATGAGTTTGTAGTAATGCTGAAGCAAGACCTGCCTAATTTGAGGAGAACATTGAGAGTCATTTACTGATTTTATAATGCATAAAAATAAAACCAATAAATGGCTCTCAATGATCTCCTCAAATTAGGCAAATCTTGCTTCAGTATTGCTACAAACTCATTATTGGTTAGTTACAGCAGTCCATTCGGGGCATATCACCCACTAGATAGCCCCCCATATTAATATTCACCCCTTGGCCGGGTTGCGGCTGCGGAAATGGATGGCCGGCATACAATTTTAGCAAGATGGCCAAAGGTACATTCATTTGTCGTCTCCGGATGTGTTGATTTCGAGACATCGCCGTCATGACTTGAAGTAATGTAGTCGTCCTTTGATTGCCCAGCTGGAGATTAGCCTAAAGCATGCCTTTAAATAGACCGTGATGGCCGTCAAGTATAGCAAATCCTGTAACAAATCCTGATGGCCCTGTACCAAAGCCTGTTGAGTCTGAAGCATAGCCAATTGGGTCTGTTGGATATCTTGTAGGCCCTAGCTTATAGCATTTGCACCAAAATTGGATGAAGTAGAGCCATCCCATTCACCCTTGTGAGAAACTAATGGTACCTCAATTCCCGCTGTGTCACATCCAAATTATTCATATTTGGAATTTTATCTATCAAAGTTCTCCTCTTGCGATCCTCAGTCGCGACCTAGTCCTTATTTGGAATCACTCCAAAGGAAAGAAGGTCCACGTCTATGTTCATTACCGTAAACCCTCATTTTGTACTCCGAGATCGATGTTGGCATTTTGGACCACGTAATTACTCAATCCCGGTAAATTAGCCATGATTTGTGAATGATTTGTGAGAGATTTGATTGCAAATGTTTTCTTTTTTTTTATCGGTTGGGTTTGCAGTTTTTTTTGTGACTAATTAGTAGATCAATTGCTCATAACTACAGAAACATAAAGGTAAGTTTAAGACCCATAAAATAAATAAATAAATCAATGAAAGAATGAATACCTGGAAAAGTAGGTCGTTGTTTGCCTCGCCTAATCTGACTTGCCTGTCGCTTAAATGATCTTTCTTTCGTGAAACTGATTTTGTGTTCACTTGAATTCTTTGGGCTGGTAAAGCTGCCAGTAAAGAAAAATTGCAATTCTAACTTTAGAAGGATTGTTTTAGATAAACCAGGCTAGGAAGCCCATAGCAAGGTAATACTAACCATAAACAACCAGAAATTTCGTCTAATTTACCTGGAAAATATTATTTCATCCAAAAGAAAAGCAAACTAGTACAACACCATTAATAAGAACATTATTTACCTGGAAAATCTTCACCAAAGCAGCTCGTTTCTGTTTCCGCTTTTTTAACCAATAGCCATGGATGGCCTCAACAACTTCCTTTCTCACCAAATGCATGACAGACCGCTTGCTCGTCCAAATTATTATACGGATTGCAGTGAAAGCTTTTTTCGAGAGCATCAATGATCGACTCAAAACTCTCAGGCGTTACAAGCTCAACTACTTCCTCACTCCTACACAGCTCGTCGTTAAAATCAGCCCACCACACCTCATCATCAGAGTCCATGTCGTAAATTGCGGACGATCGAGCAAGAGCACGAGTCTACTCATCGTCCCTCACGCGAATGTACGAAGCTGGCCTCGCGTAAGGCTTATAGTCCTTATTAGTGTCTAAGACTTCCTGCACTGTGGGAACATGAATTACACTGGCTACATGTGAAAGCAGGTTCCTTTCGTAGCACTCCTTGTAAAGCTCCTTGAAAATCAACCAATCGTGTTTGTTGAGAAACTCAAGCTTCGAGCCACCTTCGACGCCCAGATTGTCGCGTGGGAAAAACGATTGGTCCAAGAAGGACGCATAACCTTGTCAGCAGTTAGGCTGTACTTTTTCTTTCCATCCTTTTTTACGACAAGGAACCAATTTTTCGAAGTTGAGTATTCTAAAGTGATCGTGGCTCCTTCCCGAAAACACCTGTGTGATTGTACATTTTAGCTCTCTGAAATTTTTCGCCATGGGACTACTCTTAGCAGGAGAAACTTTCACGTTTTCTTGTCTGATCCTTAAAAAAGTCAGCGGCCAAAGTTCCGAAGGACTTTTGGGGTCGAAAGGCAGAAGGGACTTGACCTTTCTTGCGTCTCAAGGAACTCCATCTTTTCTAAATGTGACGACTATTTCTCGATTGAAGAGTTCAAAGAGATGATTTATTTATTCCAACATTAGCAGTGTGTGAAAACTCTTTTCTTCCAGAAACAACTTGAGGTACTACTACTTCCATCGAATCTTGCTGCTCCACATACGGTTGGGGGAATTCAATTAATTGTGTTTCACAATAATCATCCACATTAGTAACTTCCTCATTCTTCTCGTAAATATTGACAGAATGTGCCACATAATGTTCCGAATAATCAGCCATGTCCATAACTTTCTCTTCCTTCTCATATATACTGACTGAATGTGCCACGAATACACATGCTTGTTTGCATGTGCATAAAAAATGAGGGGATGGTGGAAATATTAACAGAAAATGTTGGTATTAATGACTTGGATCCTGAAATTTTGCAAATAACAGGTCTCTTGGTGTTGGAAGAATCCTGCAAAATGGGGAAAACAATAAATTGGTGAGAAACAATCACAATAAAATTAAGAAAGACAATCAAAACAAACAGAGCAAGTAAATATCTTTGCAACTAAACTAGAGTTCTGGACTTCATTATTGAAACACTGGACTTCAGAATTTAAAGATCCCAAAATTCAAAGCTGAATTTACAACATAAAGCCACTCAAATGTATCCCAGAATGCAGGAGGAAAAATTTAAGAAAGACACATAAAGATTAAACTTTTTACCTGGAGGAAAAGCACTCCACTTGACGTATAAGCATCGAATATAGGTTTGTACAGAAGAAATGCAGAAAATCGTCTAACTCCAATTCTGACCCCCAGCATGTAACTGAGAACTGTAGCAAGGAAGCAAGTGATCCAAAAACTATACCTCCAAGCTGGCCCATTCACAGTAATAGCAAGTTCACGAAGCCCGATAACTGAACTCTGGTCAACCCCACGAGTTTCAGACACTGCAACTTTACTTCTTTTTCTCCATTGCTTCCTGAAAAACTTCTTCCCATATCTTCTATCCTCGTTCGGATCAAACTCCGCCCTTTTTCTCTTTCTTCTGTACATAATCCCATACATCCTGTCTGCAGTTTTCACCTCCACATCACCATATTCAGGTGGAATTTCCTCCATTTCCATATCTCCCTCACTGTTTTTATTTTCCTGTTTTGCTTCCTTGCAGACATCATCAGCACCTTCTACTACATCAGCAGAATCTTCTAAAAGCTCGGCCCACTGATCATCCCCATGATATACCCGGACCTTATTACTGTCTTCCTGAGGTTTGGTCCATAGCCTCCTGCCTGACCGCAAAACACGTGCCCCAAACACCCTTGTGCTTCTTCTCATACCAACTGAAGGCATTGACTTGCGCTTACCAGGAAAAGCCCCTGAACTAATTTTCTTCTTCAGCATTGTAATCAAACACCTTTAGTGGCCAGAATTTGGTCCAATGCAAGATGAACTAACTGAATTTAATAGTAGGACAATCAAAATACCTTTTTTCACTATTTCTTTCAAAATACAGTTGACTGAATCTAAGGATATGGGAAATGCGTAACCAGCCAAATTGATGCAGCATGAACTAGCACCCGGAGTTCAAAAGGCTTAATTGGCTATGATTGCCCCAAACGCCACATCTTAAAGCACAAAGCACAGATTTTTTAGTCTACTCAAACAATAAGGTCTTACCGAAATTCGAATTCTTGGAACATGCAGGGGAAACCACCCTTCATCGCGACTTCGCCATACCAAAACCAAGTCTTAACTACACAGACTCGGATCGACTGGTCACAACTCCAACCCACTGCAAGCCCAGATTTTGTTCCCTATAATTTTCGCTCCAGGCCACAAAATGAAGAAACAAAATATTGCAAGACAATATTTTGGGGGTAAAAACCGAAGATCAAGCAAATCTCACAAACATCTCACAAAATCTCATCATTTTTTTCAGATTCTCAGACCCAATTACCTATCAACACGCAAACCATACAAATAACACGATACAAAATATTTCCAAACCAAAAAAAAAAAAAAAAAAATGAAAATCAAAGCATCCCTTTTTTTGGTCGTCCACAAAAATCCCTTCGATTTCCAAACAAAGCCTTTCTATTGTGATAATAAAAATTTAATAATTCCCTTTTCTCTCTCTTTCCCTCGATTTAAATGGGGTTCACAAGGGTGGCTGCGAGGCGGGTAGGTTTGCAGGATTTCTAGGGTTTATGTGAGAGGGAAAACAAAAGGGTGACTATTAACCGCTACAAGTTACTGTGCCGAATATTTTGCACCGTTGGATCAAACTACTAAAGAGCTGAGATTTATGGAATTTGATGACTTTTCGGAATGAGTAATGCTATATCTACATAACTATTACAATACCGTGTAATATGTTTGTTAAAAAATTATTCTTAAATTTTAAAATGAATGAGAAAATTATATTAAATTTAGTTTATTTTAAAAACATATATATATATATATTACTATATATTTTAGAATGATATGTTTACTTATGACTTACATGTGTTATATTATATTAGTTTTTATAACTTGTATCATATAACTACTTGAAATACAAATATGTTAGTTGATAAATAATTTTATTTTTCTAATTAATATTAAAAGTAATTTTATTATTGTTAGAAAGATAAATATAAAAAAAAAATTACACATACACTATGGATGTTAAATCGAAGCTCATCAAAAGAAGATTAATTTTATATATTACATATGTAAACTGATAAAAAATACAAAAGTTATTAACTCTTAAAATATATATACAATATAGATGTTAAAGACGGCTGAATCCACAATTAAAAAGGATAAGCCGGTGCTTCTTGTTGGATCCACTTCTGGATCAAAGACCTTAAAGTCTAAGAAAAGGAAGAGGAAGAGAAATGTTCCCAATAAATCCAATAAGAAGGCAAATAACAACTAAGGAAAGAACAAAGAGAAGGTCAATACTCAGGCTAATCATGAATGTTATCATTGTGGTAAATCTGGGCATTGGAAGAGGAATTGCAAAGAGTATCTTGCAAACCTAAAGAGTTCAGGTATTTATTTTGTTGAAGTTAACTTATCGGTTAATGATTCTTCTTGGGTATTGGATACTGGCTGTTGCTCACATATTTGCAATGATTTGCAGATGATGGCAATAAGCAATAAGCTAGAAGATGAAGAAACAATCCTAAGGATGGGCAATGGGGCAAGGGTTGCTGCCAAAGCAATTGGGACTGTTCATCCAGCTTTAAATAATGGTGTAAAAATTTGTTTGACAAATTGTTTGTATGTTCCAGATGTTATAAGAAACATAATTTCTATTCCAGTAATGGATAGAGAAGGTTTTAAGTTTGTATCTGAAAATGGAAGATGTTCTATTTTCAAACATACGACTTTTATATATTCTGGAAATTCGACAAATGGTTTATATACCATTACACCACAAAGTCTCATCCTAACCATTCAAAAAAATAAAAGGAAATTAGATAATCATAGTTCATTCACAATTTGGCATGCTAAATTAGGTCATATATCTGAAAAGAAGATTCACAAATTGGGACCGAAACTTGACCTTAGGGGAGAGGAAAGGTTACCTATATGTGAGTCATGTCTTAAAGGTAAAATGACAAAATCAACATTTGTTGGACAAGTGGAGCGAGCTAAAGGTCTATTGGATTTGATTCATACAGATGTTTGTGGACCACTAAATGTTAGTGCCAAGGGGAACTACCACTATTTCATAACTTTTACTGATGATTATTCACGGTATGGATATGTATACCTATTAAGGTATAAATTTGAAGTATTTGAAAAGTTCAAAGAATTCAGAAGTGAAGTGGAGAAACAAATTGGTCGTATTATTAAAGCTCTTCGATCAGATCGAGGAGGTGAATATTTGACTAATGAGTTTCTTGATTATTTAGAGATAATGGGATTATTTCACAGTGGACACCTCTTGGAACTCCACAACTCAATGGGGTTTCAGAAAGGAGGAATCGAACATTGTTGGACATGGTTCGATCAATGATGAGTTCCACTAGTTTACCTTTTTCATTCTGCGGCTATGCCTTAGAAACATCAGCACATATTTTGAATAGAGTGCCGAGTAAAGTGTACCCAGCACACCTTATGAGATATGGTGTGGCAAAACACCCTCGTACAAGTATTTGAAAGTATGGGGTTGTACTGCTTATGTGAAGCAGCTAGTGGGAGGTAAGTTGGATATGAGATCCATCTTATGTAAATTTGTGGGGTATCCAAAAGAGTCTATTGGATACTATTTCTATGACCCTTCTGAACAAAAGGTATTTGTTTCGAGGAATGTTGTATTCTTAGAGGAAGAGTTTCTTTCTAAGAATAGTGGAGTTGTAGAACTTAATGAAGAACCACAAGAAATTCCACAAAGTACCACAAATAACATACCAGTAGAGACTGGACCACCTATAACACAACCTCTTCGGAGATCTGAAAGGATTTATAGGGCGCCTGAGAGGTTGTACCTAGTGTTAGAGAACAAAGAAGAGGGACTCCTTTTGGATAATGATCCAATAAGCTATGATGAGGTAATGTCGGACATTGACTCATATAAATGGCAAGAAGCTATGCAATCTGAAATGGACTCCATGTATTCAAACAAGGTATGGACCTTGGTTGATTCACCACAGGGTATTGTACCCATAGGTTGTAGATGGGTTTACAAGCGAAAACGTGGTGTAGATGGATAAGTGAATACTTTTAAAGCAAGATTGGTTGCTAAAGGTTATACTCAAAAACAAGGTGTTGATTATGAGGAAACTTTTTCACCAGTAGCAATGCTTAAATCTATTCGGATATTGTTAGTCATAGCTGCGTATTATGACTACGAGATATGGCAAATAGATGTGAGGACTGCTTTTCTTAATGGAAACATTAAGGAAGACATCTATATGAAACAGCCACAATGTTTCATATCCAGTGGGAGCGAACAAATGGTTTGTAAACTTCAAAGGTCCATTTATGGATTTAAACAAGCTTCGAGGAGTTGGAACATTCGGTTTGATGAAACAATCAAAACGTTTGATTTTCATAAAAATCCGGATGAACCATGTGTTTATAGAAAGGTTAATGGGAATGCATTTGCATTTGTTGTACTCTATGTTGATGACATCCTACTCATTAGAAATGATGTAGGTATGTTGCAGTCAACACGGACATGGTTGTCAAAACAGTTTTCCATGAAAGACTTGGGAAAAGCATATTTTCTCTTAGGGATAAAAATCTATAGAGATAGATTTAGAAAAATGATCGGACTATCCCAGTCTATGTACATAAATAAGGTGCTAAAACGATTTAGCATGAAAGAATCCAAACGTGGATATATTCCAATAAGTCATGGGGTTTCACTTTCTAAGACTATGTCTCCAAAGACACCTGAAGAAAGAGAAGGGATGAGTCATATACCTTATGCATCAGCTATATGTAGCGTTATTTATGCAATGTTATGTACAAGACCTGATGTGGCTCATGCACTTAGTGTAACGAGCAGATATCAGTCTAATCCAGGTGAAGAACACTGGAAAGCCGTTAAGATGATTCTTAAGTACTTGAGAAAGACTAAGGATATCTTTATGGTGTATGGTAATGGAGAACTGAAACTAGAAGGCTTTACTGATTCTGGTTTTCAGTCCGATAAAGATGACTTTAAATCCATGTCTGGATACTTGTTTACTCTGAATGGAGCAGCAGTTAGCTGGAAAAGTTCCAAACAAGAAACGATTGCTGACTCTACAACATAGGTTGAATATATTGCTGCATCTGATGCCGCAAAGGAAACTGTTTGGATAAGGAACTTCATCCAAGGGTTGGGTGTAGTACCATCTGTTGTTGATCCAATAACGATTTATTGTGATAACAATGGGGCTATTGCGCAAGCAAAGGAACCAAGATCTCATCAAACATCCAAACACATTATGAGACGATGCCATTTGATTAGAGAAATCATTGGTAGAGGCGACATCGTGATGGAGCGAGTTGACTCAGCAGAAAATATAACAGACCCCTTAACTAAGCCTTTATCACAAAAAGTGTTCGAAGGACATCTTGAGAAGATGGGTCTAAGATACATGAGTGATTGGAACTAAGGCAAGTGGGAGATCGTTAGAGTAGGATACCCGACGTTCCAATCAGATTGGACGTATTCTACTTGTATATACAATCTATTGTAATTATATCAATAAATAGGCATTACTTTATCTTAAGTATTAGCATTTATCATATATTTGCACTTAAGATAAATTCCTTATATCATTTATAGGTATAAGGTATGGTTGCGCATAGAGATGGTGATCATGGAACATATCTTAAAAGTTGTGATCTTAAATATAGTTCCAAGTCGTTGGATATTTCGAGATGGGATATCGAATAATTCGGAAAGACTTGTA